CAATTGCAGGTAATGATAGTTCACCATCGTCACCCGGCGAAACAATAGGTACATATTGGCCTAGTGAACCACCTGAAGCTGCATTAGATGGTAATTTAGATTCAGAATATACCAATCATGGGAGTTGTAGTGGAACTAGTCCAGTACACGCTGAATGCGGAATAAAAACTGGTTTCTATATAACATTCAACAGCGAACCGTTCATTCTCGTGAAGTTCCGTATAGTTACACACAAAGGTTATCCAGATCGAGATCCAAACACAATTACAATTGAAGGTAGCAACAATAACGAATCCGATTTAGTTTTTGGAAAAAGTTGGACTTTGATTTATGATGGTGATGCAGGTCTCACGAAAGATCCAGGAAGACGAGCATATGGTGTTACACAAACAATATCCAATAATTCGTTGTCGTTTGCAAGCTATCGTATTCTCATCACTTCAAAAAGAGGAGAACACGTTTGTGTTTCTTACTCAGAATTTGAGATGATTGGACGATTTCCTGATTAATATGTTTGAAAAACATTTAACTGACTAACAGCGCATATTAATTATCAAAGGAAGCCTCTGTTTTCTGTTTGCTTATTTCTGAATCGCTTTTTGAATGTAATTGTGTTCGTACTTAAATATCAAGTCAGAGTGTGTGGGTGTGGTGTGGTTTGGAATCGAATGAAGGTCCTTTTTTTCCTTACCCTGATCCGAAATCTTTTAATTATTATGAATAAAATAAAATGCAAATCAATTAGTTTATTATGACAGATAAATTGACATTTATATACGAATACTTTTTCCCTTCATTTGAAAACATTTTCTTTCTTTTTTAATCGATTTTAGTTCATTAAACAGTTATCATGACATCATGTTTCTCTTGTGTTGGAAAAAAGAAGAAATTGATCAATAATAAACTTTTAGAAATGATAAACAGAATTCAATCACATCCATAATCTGAAATATTCTTTAATTTAGTGATAAATTTGAAATTTCACAACTGCTTTCAAGTCAAATTAAGGGTGTAGGTGTTTTACTGAAATAATATATTTTTGCAATTACAAATATAAAACATGACCATTATCGTTTATTCTTGACTTTTATTGATCGATGATTTGAATAAACATGTTTAAATAATTCATTTCTATTATAAAATTAGATCATACGAAAAATCTTTACAAAACTATATAAACTTCTTTTGAAATCTATCGACAAGTTTTCTTTTCTTTTATTAATTTTTCCTCAACTTGTGCTCATCAAATGTTATTTCAAGATGGATTTCTTTTTAATAGACTAGACAATGAATGTTCTCGTTATAATGTAATAAAAATATTAAACTACTACTAACGGATGTCCCATAAATAATTATCCTTTTCCCTTTCTCTGAATAAATCATAAAATCACAAAAATAAATCTAAGAAAACAACAATTTCTTTGTATTTCGAAGTTGTTTTTTTATTAACTTAATGTTTTTCTCAATCTGAAAAATATTTTATTTCATTTTCGTTTTTAATTTAAAACTAAAATTAGCGAATATTTATTTACATTTTTTCTAAAATAAAAAAACAAATTTAGTTATTTTATTCAAAGAAATTTTATTAATCTACTTTTATTTATTTTCTTCTAGATTTTTCATAAATTAATGTTTTGATTTATTTTTAAAAACAAAAATATTTTTAATTTTCAAATTTTTTCATATTTTTGGATTCGATGATTATTTTGATCAACAACATAAAGATTTTCTTCAATATCAAATGATAAACCTGCGGGACTATTCAACTGATTTGGCCGATTTTTTTGACCATTTCCATCAACAACAATTTCACCTTCTTTATCTCCTTCACACCAACGCATGACTCGATGATTCCCTTCATCTGCCACATAGATTTGACCCAAATGATCAACAACCACTCCTTGAGGACGAGACAATTGTTTTAGACTATTTCCTTGACCATTTCCACCAGCAACAATTTCACCTACTTTTGCATCTTTTTTCCATTTCATTACACGATGATTCTTTTCATCTGATATATAAAGAGAATAATCTTTATCAACAAAGATAAAAGTAGGTCGATTGAGTTGATTAAGATGATTTCCTCTTTCATTTCCACCTGCAACTAATTGACATTTTTTATCTTTTTCTTTCCGTCGTCGTACTTCATTACTGCACCAATCAGAAACATAAATAAATCCATTTTTATCGATTGTCAGACCCAAACAACTAATATTTAAAATAATAATTTGTTGATTTGATTGATTTTTATCAAAAGATCGAATTACTGGTCTGTTTCCATTATCAGAAATAATAAAAGAATTATTTTTTTTATCAAAAACTAAATCTGTTGGATAAGCCAGTCGATTATTTTGATTTGCGCTTCTATTTCCACCTGCAATAATTTGACCTTTATTTGAATTCAATTTCCATTTAACAATACGACAATTGGCAGTATCAACAATATAAATTGATTTATCATTATCAATAATGATCCCAAAAGAACTAGAGAGTTGACTCAATTCATCTCCTCTGCCATTTCCTCCAGTAACAGTAATTGCAAATTGTTTAAATTTATTCTTTTTTGTTTGAATTTGTTCTAAAATAGAAGATTTTCTTTTTATTCAAAATCTTTTTCATTATTTTTAAATGCAAAAAGGACGGAAATAAGAAGATGAACTTGTATTCGAAATCGTTTTAATAAAATAAAATTTTCTGTTTTGTTGAATTTAATTTTTAACGAACAAAATTAATTTTAACCAATTGCTTCATTTAATTGAGATTTTTTAATTAAAAATTCTTTATTTGATTTTCGTAAATTTTAATGTAGGAAAGTCTTTTTTTAAATGAAAATTATTTTTATTTCAATGATTTAAATAAAATCGATGAAAAACTTCTTTTTTATTAATAAATTAAAACAATTCTTTTATTTGAAAATTCTAAACTAAAAAGTTAAGCTTCACTTAAATTTATTCGATAATATAAAAACAAGATAATCTTTTCATTAAATTATTAAAAGAGATTTTTCAAATGAAAAAAATTTAAAAACTCTATTTATTCTGAACAATTTGTTTACATTTGAATTTTAAATTAGAATAAATCATCTTGCAGGTGTGTAGGTGTTGGTGTCGATGGGTGCGTGAATGTAGATGAGATAAGAAGTGAATATTTACACCCACATCCACCCACGCACCCACAACCACACCCTCAAGATGTCTTTTAGAAATAAAGTTCACCTACCGATTTCTTCATGAACTGTATTGAGCGATAGATGTCGACTTTCGATTGAGCTGACTCTATGAGGTTTTTGATTTCCATTACTCTCGTTTGATACGCCTTTAGAAACATCACGCATGAGCATTTCAATGTCTACGTTGGGTTGTGCTATATGTTGAAGCAAATGAAATGTAAATAAACCATTCCGACCATTCTTGGCAACATCCATAGCCAATTTTCCAGGAGCACAAGCAAAAACGATGATTGAATCTCTCTGCACCTCCATTTTTGTAAGGCCAGTAGGCGATTCTGAACTACCTCTTGTTTGTGAATCTAATAAAGCTTCATTTTTGATGACATAATTACGACAACAATCTAGAAGAAATATGGTTGCAGCAGGGTTCTTACTCGATATGTGATCAAGAGTATGTTGTGCATTGATAGCTCTAGTCTTTAGATGTTCTTTGGTTATTATTCGATTATTGTCAACAGGTAGTAAATAGTTTTGATCGTTCCATTGAGTTCCATGACCAGCAAAGAAGAAAACAACAAGATCATTCTCAGAAATGGAATCTGTGAAGTCATCAATAGTTCGTCGCATCTCAAAGAAATCAGCATTTTTCAGAACGGTAACAGTAAAACTAATGGAGTGCAATTTTTCTGACAGATCATCAGCATCATTAATGCAACACTCGAGTGATTCCGCATTTGTGTATGAGTTGTTGCCAATCGAAAGAGCAATTTTCTTTTGCCTTACTTGTGTTTTAGCCATGTCGATATTTATCTAGAATAAAACTAAAGCAACGTCTAAAATCTAGTAAAAGAATAAAACATGTCTTATTCAGTAAGTATATTCTAATTAATAGAGTCTATGATTTTTTTTATTTAAAAATGAGTTTTGCAAAAAAAAGAGGGTGTGCGGTATGGGTGTGGGCGGATGTGGGGGTGAGGGTGTAGGTGGCCCCACACCCATCACGGTATTCAATGAAATATATTGTTTTTTTCTTGTCGCATTACTTCTACAAAGTCCTTGAAATCAATATCAGATTTTGGATCAAAATGACCAATACTTTGTTCATCACTTGTAAGATAATCAAAATATTCATAATGTTGTTGATCTTCTGTTCCATATGCATAACATTGAATAGTTATACAACATGTACCATTCGGATCAACATGTTTCAGTTGATGCGTTTGATTTAAGTTTGGTAATATCCATGTTACTTGTCCTTCACGACAAAATTGTTCAATGGGCTTATATTGAATGACATTAAGTCTTAATGCTGGATAGAGTTTTAACAAAATGCCACCATAAAGTACTCGAATAATAGCGTATGCATTACTATGATTATGAATAGGACTAAAATGTCCAGCAGGCCAAACTTCGACGACATATGTATGACCTGGTGCACTTCCTTCTCGATTACCCAGTGTAATACGTAAATAAGATGCCTTAAAATTTGGTTTACCAAAATGATTAGCTTTCTCAGTTAGTTTTTTGTGACACCAACCTTTCTTGTTTTTGATACTTTCGTCAATGACACGAGTAAGATCTGAAAAATCTTTTGTATTTAATTCGAAATTAATAACACTATCATATAAATCACGACATGTTTTTTCTAATTTTGATGGTGGAATAGCTATATGCTCAGTTGCATGTACAGTATAATATTGATTGTATGGTACAACAAACAATGGTGGGTCATATACAACAGGATCTTTTCCAATATAAAAGCGAAATTTTTCTTTGAATTCATCTAATTCAGTTAACATTCGATCATTATTGTTTAATTCAATATGTAAATAATAGACTTCTTTCATAAGTTTTCTTTCATTTTCTGAAACATTAATACTAAAAACAGCAAAGAGTGGACGAATTTCACCAACACCATATTTAATATTTCCATCAGTTTCAAAGAAACTAATCCAATACCTATGCCAATTCCCATCATCACGTTGAAGTATATGAAGCTGATCAGTAGATTCATAAGTTTGTCCAGTACTTGTACTTAATACAACTTTATTCTCATTAATTGAAAGCATTATGGAATATGCATCTCGATCATGAGGATCTTCTTTATTCGACAATCGTAATTTGAAAGGTATTGATGTTTGTTGCATTATTGAGACTGTACCTTGACCTTTAATCGTAAGATTATTTTTACAGAGATTTGATTTCCATGGACACCAAAATTTGTCCGGTTGTGCAAACCCATCGACACCAGCCTCTTTGGGTTGAAATGAGTGTTTTGGTGGTATAGCTGCAATAGCGGCTAGATAGAAAAAAACATAAGAATATCACAAAATAAATCACAGAAAGTAATTACAGAAAACAATGTGTTGGGTAAATATCCCTTTTCTTTTTCATTGAATGTGTGAATGGTTATAGTTATATTTTATTTTATTTTGATTTTTATTCTCATTTTCTAGTATTCTCTTTTTTTGAGATCTCTGTGGTTTCGCTAGATCTCAGAAAATCTTGTGGGAATAACGATATAGAATTAGAACGATGTTTTCACAACTGATTCAGTAGATAAAGACCATAAATGGTTTCAAAGATTATCTGCTTATATACTAGCTTGATTGATTCATTTCTATTTTGAGGACGAGTCAGTATTCATCTTACTGAATTCAGATATTACTATTTAAATTAAAGATAAATACTGAAACTGACCTGCTGACATTTGAGGTAATTTTGATGTTGTTTGTGGTTGCCGTGATGCAAATCGTGCCGATTCTTCTGGTTGTCCTGTAGATGCTTCCAATCCTACTGATTCTTCAGATGCTGCTTCTGATGGATGTTCTCTAATTGCTTCAAATATAAGTTTCCTCCAGTCAATGATTTCATTTTGTTCGTCTTTAAAATGATAATATGCATCATCAGCTCGCTTCCAACCACTTGAACATGATTCTGGCGGCGCATTTTGGCAATCTTTCACCCCATCATATCTCCACCAACAATTATTAAACCCACATGTTACTGGAGGAACATATTTTTTACATACAGGACATTTAGTTGTAGTTTCGCTTGGATCGCTTGACATATCGAATTTCTTGTAACCAATGGGCATAATAACTGTACGACCAGAAGCTTCACATTTAGAGTTTTTACATTCACCTTCAAGACACAAACCATGTCGCGCTCTTCGCCATCGTGGAGCTGTTTTAGACCATTCTTTTCGGTTTAAATTTTTATCATTGCTAACATCGACAAATTTTAATCCAAAAAAGCCTGTAAACTTACGATACTTAACAGTTGGATCAACTAATTCCAGCTTAGAACCCGCCTTTATATCAAAATCGGATACTATGTCTTCTTCATCAAGCTGTTCCCCATTAAACATCAAATACATGTTTTTAATATCGTAACCGTCAGATTTTTTGTGAAAACGTTGCTTCACTTCTCGAATTGTGTTAGAGGATTCAATGTCGATTTCACGATTCTGTCTGTTTCCAACTGAATTTTCTATATAAATCTTCATTTTATTATTGATTAAAAAATAAAATCTACAAATCGTATTGAAGAAAATGAATTTTGCCTAATCAATAAAAATAACAGAAAAATTACATAAATCACACCACCAAAAAGAGGAGAAATTGATTAAATATATATATAAATGTGATACGTAAGGAAGCAAAGAACCTATTCATTATTCATGTATGTAATACTTGAATTCAAGTATTCAATTATTCGACTATTCAAACGTGTGGGAACCAGGTGGGGAGAATACGTGGGAAATCCCGTAGGGGGAGATGAAGACAAGAGGGACACTTTTAAAGAGGAAATTCTTTAGTTGAGCTGTTTGAAATCGTTTATTAGTTGAATGGCTGAATACGTGGATACTTGTAAGTGAGTCAAAATCGCACACATTCTTAATCATATCACTAAAATAGTAGGACAAAAAGTGAAGATATAATGTGTAGTAGGAAGAATTGCATATTCTTCCTTTTTATTTTTATATTACAAAGGGTGGGCGTGGATGTGGGTGTGGGTATTTATCTTCTCTTAACTCAGATCCCGCACCCACACCCTGTGTTGTTTTTTCAAGATGTCGACTTTCAACTTCTGGTCACTGAGGCAACGTGTTACGTGTACAAGTCGAAATGAGAAGGGAAAATCAAAAAGAATGATTATTTTCAATAATTTCTTTCTCTTTTTATCCTTTTTCTATTCTCTCAGTTATCTTAATACCAATACTTACGAAAATAAATGAAGTAATATGTTAATCAGATACTAAAAATAAGTTGAAGATGATGACCACCAGAACGATAAAAGAATCAGTAATCGTATTTTATCTGAAATAGAAGCAAATAAATTGAATGCAAAGCTCTGATATAATTATATCATCAAGTTTTATAGGAAGATCAAATGTTTGTTCATCAAAATTCAATTCTATTTTCAATTTAGTTTTGTATTCAATATATCTTTATAAAAATGAAGTTTCTTCTAAATCGTAATGATCAGAAAAGAAATCTAGGATAATCCTACTTAAGTCTATACACATAATGTCGTATAACAATAAAATGTTTTGTAAAACAAACTAAAAAGAGTGTTTAACGGTAGAAATCCGACCCATTCCCTAGCCTTCTCCCCTCTCCCCCTTAGACCGTAACAGGCACTATTAATTAATATTAATTAACGACTATTATTTATTTGTCATTAATCAATTAATATGAATTGCTTATTGATAACTAATTCATATTATTTAATTTGTAATAACTAGGGTGGGTGTAGGTGTGGATGTCTTATTCCAATATTCACACCCACCCTTATTTACCGTCCAATTTCTTCAACAGTATCATAATAATTATAGATATTTCCATGTTTAAGTGTAGCTCGTTCTGGTTGACGACCAGTTGTATTTTTATCTCCATTTCAAATAGTTAATGTAATAGCTCGATCAGTAACATCAATTGAAACATTTTTATATTTTGTTATATCCTTCCCATCTTTCGATATCATTACATTAGGTAATGGACTACCAATATAAGGAATTTTAATAACAATTGATTCATCTTTATCATAATTAAGAACATATTGATATTTTAGTGGTAAACAAAATCGTCGTGGCACTAGAAATTCAAAAATATACATGCCAAGAATTTATTTTTATTTATATATTTTAAACTTACATCGAACATTAACATTACAACGACACATTCTTGAACCACCTTTATTACGTTTTGTAATACTATATTCATCAACATCGTCTGGTGTAGTATTATTAATAACCAAAATACATTTATCACCATCACGTGTTATAGTATATTTAGCACCTTGAGAAATTTCTTTAGTATCTTTGAACCTAATTAATTATTATAAAGAAATAGTTTGATATAAATAATTAACGAGAAAAAACCATTCAACAGCAGGTTTAGCTGTTTCAATAACTTCACATTCTAATGTAATTGTTTTACCTTCATTACCTTCAGCATCTTTTAATTTTTCAAGAAATTCTGGTGGAGTAGACGCATTTGGATCTTTAACCTAATAAAACAAAAAAATCTTGTTTAGAAATATTTTAAAAATTCATTTCTATATACTTTAGTTGGTGTAGTTGCATCAGATGGTGCTCCTTTTCCAGCTTCATTTTCAGCTGTAACACGAAATTCATAAATATGATCTTCGACGAATGATGGTACTGTAAAACGTATTGACTGACATGGGCAGCAGCAGCGTCATCTTCATTTGAAATATTCAAATTAATACTAGCTGTTATTTCTGCAGCTTTATTTTTAACGACAATTTTATATGTTTCGGCATCATTTGGACCAAGATCAGTGATTTCAAGTGTAACATCATAATTATTTCTAGTTGCAAGTTTAATTGTTTTTTTTATGTTTTGTTGATGTAGTTGTAAGTTTAGCCTCGTTTTGAAACCACGTCACATCGAGCTTGGGTATTCATTGTACTTGACATTCGAGATAGAGACGGGTAGAATCATCGGATGATTGTCGAATTTCAGTGTACTAGCTGCCATTCATGTATCGTCAATCGAATCGATTTACTAACTATTTATCTATCTATCTCAAAAAAATAAAATAAAAAGAAAAGATATGCTCCATTCCATCTGCAGTTATGTCTATATATATATATACAGAAGAGTATCAAAGAAATAATCATAAAAAGGGGTATGGAGGGTCGACAACAAACCAACACTCCAGAGAAAAAAAGAAAGAAAGGGAACAAGATGAAGATACTCATGTTCTATGGTGTGCGGTAAAAAATATATCCATTCCTGTATATAGGGTGGGTGTGGGTGTATGCGAGGGTATGAGTGTGCCATAGTCTTGTATTCATCCGCACCCTCAAAAATTTAAAAGCATTAGTAATTAAAGTTACCTTACTACATTTTTTATACTCTTTCAATTTAATCATATTTGAATGATATGCTAAACCTAAGTCTAAGACATAAATATCATACGTTTGTACTTGAAAAATCTTATAGTACATTAGGGTAGTTTCGAATAACTTTAATTTCATCGATAAAACATTTTTTTAACTTACTTTAATTAACAAAGTCATATTAATTAAGTTTTATTTTAGTACTTTTGGTTATAAATAGAAGAAAAAAACATTACTGATCTTAAAATTTTATCATTCTTTCTTATTTTATTCTCTTTAGCCAGACTTCGATCGCATTTTGAGAAGCGGAAATCAATTTACTAGTAAATATATTTTAAGTTTTATATCAATATCAAAACACGAGATAGTCATTTTCAAAAATGCAAACTTGAGAGTTTTACTAAATAAATTTTATAAAAATCTGTTTGATGAAGAGAGATTGTATTAACTAACTATGTAGATGGTTTATTAATATTGTTTATCATTTGATAATGACGGTTCTCTATTTAACTGTAATTAGAGACTAAACCAAAATAACTTTGACTGATTTGAGTTCAGTTCGATTCATTGTAACTAAGATAAGAACTATTTACAAAACAAAAAACTTATAAGTTGTACTATGTTTATTCATTGAAAATGCATTGGATATTGACTTGTTTCATGTTTATTAAACAATTAATCTTAAATTATTAAAAGTAGTTCAATTGATATTCTGCAGTCATTTGAACTTCGAATTTTATTTATTTTTTATTCATGGAATAATAAATTATCTAATTGTTTATTAAATAAGAGAAATGAGAGAAATAACTTTGAAAAGTTATATTATATAGAAGTAACTGATTCTAATAAATACAATAAGCAAATATTTTAAGAGGAGAAAAAAGCTATCGTATGAAAATTTAATTACAGTATAAAATAATTTATCAAATATTATCTGATTATTTAGGGCAAAATGATAGTTCTGATAAATAAATATTAGATCAATCGATTCTTTTTTACTTACATTTCATTATATTTACTTGCTTCTTAAATATTGGTCCGAATCGAATCGTTTCGACCTCTGACTGTACTGGAGAACAAATCAAATAGAACTGACATGATGTATTCGATTTGTTTTCTTTTATAATTAGAATAGATATGAAAATGAATAAGTAAATATGTGGTGAAACTAAGCATCCATATGTAGAATACGAGTTTGTTATTAGCTTAGTTAATATTAATATAATATTCAAAATGAATTGTTATGAATATATTTGATTAGATTCGATGTTTATTGATTGTTGATTGTAAATTGATTGGTAATGATAGAAAAAGTGAACTACTTTCTCGATGAAAACTAGACTAATTCATAATGGTTTAAGTTCGAGAATAGGTAGTGCATTTAAAATGAAATTGTCAATAGCTTTAATAGTGTGACATTTATCACACATAGTGGAATAATTCTCATGACTGAACGTCCATAGGTGTCAACTTGATTCTTATTCGGAACAGGGAATCTATAAAATTACATTTTTTCTAGGTGTGGGTGTAAAAGAAAAGATAGAATACTCTCTGATACCCACACTCTCAAGATCAGCTAGAAATTCGATCTAATACCACCAATCAAGCTGGCATTTTCACCAGAAGTGTCTCTTGCCAGAATCACTTATCTCTGGGAATTTCGGTCCAAAAGGACGATTGTGAGTGTGAAGTCATTTGCGAGGGTAATAAACCTTAAGAAAAATACATGTTGGAAAGTGACTTTTTGCTTTTTTTACATATTGTACAAGTGCGAAAACTGAGAGAAGTAAGTATGTAACGGTCATTCACTTTCACGATCTTGCATATCTAGCTCACAGTCAAACGACTGGGCTTCGTTACATGACTATCCACAACTATATCCATCCCACAAGTACAAGCTGACCGATAAAGTGGAAACAAATAGATAGTTTTATGCTAAATTCCAGCTGATCTCGTGACATATTTTCGCACTATTCTTTTCTCGATACATTAATCTCTTTTCCTTTGATAAATCATGAAAAAGACAGTCGATCTATCACAACGAATGTAGCAATTTTTTATTTAAGAAAACAACAACTAATGTATTACTGTTCCTCATGTTTAATCGCAGTAGTTGCTTGCCCACTTGAACTTCTTTACGTGGTTATTCCAGGTCTCACTGATTATCAAATTGTAGTCTTTATCGAACTTCACGTCAAACGGTCCGTTCAATGCTTGTCCCATACACCCAAGGACACACTTGCCACCTGAGCGTACATCATCTCTTAGCCACCGCGTGATTTGTCCATTTCCGAAGTCTGCAATGTAGAGGTTTCCTTCCTTGTCTAACACCAGGTTTATCGGCTGGTTGAGCTGTGAACTACTTATCTCCTTTTCATTTCCTCCTGCAACCGTCTCACCTCTCATTGCTCCCACAAGGAAGAAGCGCTGAATTCGTTGATTCCACTGATCGGCAACGTAGAGAGCATAGTGCTCAGAATCAAGGTAAATGCCAGCCGGTCGATCGAGGTGAAGAGCGTCACTACCCGCCTCGCCGCTGACACCGGCAACCACGGTACCAGTTGTAGCGCCCTTCATCCACATAATTACTCGATGATTATTGGTGTCTGAGATGAAGAGATTTCCATAGTCGTCGACTGCGAGGCCATTTATGAGACTGCCTAGCTGGTTTAGATCTGACCCTGCTGTTTCACCTCCGGCAACTTGAACTCCCATAGCATCTTGAGAAGTTTCGTATTTCATGACTTTTCCACTCATGGCTAGGTAGAGATGGCCCTTTCGATCGACGAAGATGGCGCCCTTTTCAACTCTTTCAGGTCCAATCATTTGTCCTTGTAAATTTCCCTCGAATTTCAGTACACGTCCGTTACCGTGATCCACGACGAAGAGGCCGTTGTCACCACTCGAATTCAACGCGATCCACAACGGATAACGAAATGAAGAAACGTCTCTACCGTCATCTCTCTGTGCACTTCCTGCAATTATCTCGCCCTTCTGGTCCCATTTAGCGCAATGCGATCCCCACGTAACTGGTTTCTTCGTAGTTGCTTCTGTTAGGAAAAGAAAGCAAGTATGGTTGTTAAGTATAACACATCCAGAAAGATCTTACCATCGCTGACACATTTGTAGAACTTGCGAATCTCCAGAACATCGGTGTCACTCAGGTTGTAATACTGGCCCATGGATTTTCCAGGCGGCTTTGTTTCTATTGTTTTCTCTCCGTTTTTACTGAACGCCCGTGAATGGTAGTGTGTGATTGAATTGTAATCGTACGGAGTGTCTTGTTGCACGTCCATATCATATTCAATCGCAAAGGGGGATAGCTGGTCTATTCAGTTTCAATATTTGAAAGACATAACACTTTCCTTCTAACTAGAAGCGCTTACTCACTTTCGAGAACATTCTCCCAGTTGATCGTGATGTACTGATCTCGATCTGGTCTCTGTTGTTCATGCTGAAAGCCTGTGGTGATGTAAAAGTAAGGTTTCTACCTAATCTATAACAAACTGCAATATAAATCACATACCTAGCGTATGCATGAGCTCATGCGTGACGGTGCCTTGGTTCACACAACTTGGTCTCTCGAGAGAGACCTCACTTTTGAATCCTGAATAATATCCAAGCTGCAAGAAACCCCGTCTTAGTCAGAAAACGATTATAGATATAGGCAAATAAAACTTACGTGCGCGTGACATCCGCTGCCGCTGTAAAACGAAACGTAAGTGTTATCCGACGACATTTTCGGTCGAAATTGAATGCAGGGTCTACCATGGAGAGCAGTTGCTTCTTCAATCCTCCGCATCGCCAACAGAATAATCTCCTGTTCCGAAGCGTCTAAACAAATTTTTTAAAGACAGATGAACAGTCTCTTGATCAGTTATCTGCTAGTAGACTTTAAAGAAAACCTTGACTCACTATGTGCGGGAATGTCCATATCATTGCAGTTCTTTCCTTCGGAATCACAGGTCTTAGTTTTCCAGGCATACGGAATAACTCCATTTGGCCATTGTGCACTTGATCTAGTTACAGGAATAGCTCGATTTTGCAACTGTTGCTTGAAAAGCGTGAATTCATATAAATAGAACGATGAATATAGTCAAGCACATTTTAACTTACTGGTCGAAGAATGATGTCTCCTTGGAAGAGATCAGCTATTCAGAAGAAAGGAAGGTGAAGATATGAGACGTCTGTGAAAGTAGAACTTACGATTTTCCATGAGTTTATGATCAGTCTTAGCCATAGTCTCCAACTAGTGAGTGAGAAAGTAAAAAAGTCATTTTGCTGCTATCAGTTTACAAGTGTACGTACTGATCGACCATCAACCACATTTTCAAAGGCCAGTAGAACAACGACGTAGATGAGTGACACAGAAACGAACATATTTATCAGTGTTTAATGGAGAATGTGTAATTGCGACGCCTATTTATATAGTAAAAAACGAACGTATTTATTTAAAGCCAAACGACCTTGACGAAGTCATAACAAGTTAACGTAAAACTTGTCGCGGAAAACAGAATCAGATCAGTGACACTAAGTCATAGTTGTTCGATGAGTGGCGGCGTTCTTAATATGGGATTAGAAAAATTAATTTAAAAAATATTTTTGCTTCTTATTCTTCGCAGAATCAATGTGTGGGCGAGTCTATCCTTTGTGAAATACGATTCAAAATGAGTCTCGAAGCGTATATAGGTAAAGTTGGAAGCTAACGGTTTTTTTCTAAAATTGAAAAATCAAAGGAAATTTTTGAAGGTTTAGCGAGGATGGGGTGTGGGTAAAAGATGAGTTTCATGCGCACACGCACACCCTCACACCCTTATCCTAGATTAATATTAATTGCTGATGGATAAAATTTAAATATATGAAACTTACATAATTTCAAGATTTATAATTTCATTGCATATCTGACAACTGAAATTCTTATTGTTAATAGTTTTATGCAATGTATGAAAAATAATAATAATCTTGAGATTTTAATCAGTTTAAATGAAAAAGTAAGTTTAATGTAGTTAATCTTGAAAATTTAATTAAATGGAAATTTTCGATCATTTATTCGATCATTATCAACCTTTAACACAACCTTATAACTGATGTTAACGAAACAAAAAAGAAATTTCATTCAAATTGATTAAAATCTGAAGATTATTATTATTTTTCATACATTATTGATACATAGTAGTATTAAACAAATTGAGTATTTATTAGTTGTGGCATGAATTTAACAACATTCAAGGTTATGGTTATGATGTTTATGTTAAAATGATGTCTATATATAAGATAATTTATACTTATTATTATATCTTTTTTCATATATTTTTCGTGTAAAATCTTTTTTGTTTGTATCATCAGGTTGTGTTAAAAGGTTGATAATAATCGAATAAAGATCGAAAATTTCCATTTAATTAAATTTTCAAGATTAACTACATTAAACTTACTTTTTCATTTAAAAAGTTTTATACAATAAATTTACAATTGAAAAGAATAATTTAAAGTCTTTCGAAAGTCCGATTTAAGGAACACGATATATATAAACATTTTATGCTGTTTTATCTTATCTTTTCAGCAATAAATACTCAGCCATCTTTTCTTCCAATATACTCATTGATGCAGCCAGTGCATAATACAACAAATAGTACTTTACCGATATTTGATTAGTATATTATTAGTTAAAAAATATTCATTCAGCTTATTATACGGTGATAATGTTTTACTACCGCGTTTTACTGGTAGACCTTAAATTTAATATTTGTGTACTCTATTCTATATAAGATGGAAAGTACCGATTAAAATTTTCAATCGCATTGATGCTAAAAATGTAACAATACATATTATACGTATATTACTGATATTAATGCATCAGAAAAAAAATACGACATCTCAATACTTCTTGATCTGATTTTCCGTTAAGGAATGATGAATTTGAGAAAATGACGTCCTTTTACACAATTTGATCAACGATCTACCAGATCAACAAATTTAAATGTATTGATAATTTTTCAATATTTTCAAATATATTCTCTAAGTCAGACGATTCCTATCTAGCAATATGAGCTATCATTTATGTCGTATAAAGTGATCAAAAATACAGGTTTATTTCGATTATTTTGTTGATTGATATGTTATTAAATTGAAAATATTCACAGAGAAAAAATAGCTATTTGACAGTATATGCCGTAATTAAGAATGACTAATACAAATATCACATAATAAAAAATGCTCTCACGTTAATACGATAATTAAAATCTTTTTGATCTGAAATTATCTTTCTGAAATGTATATAAGAAATATACTGTTGGTACAATCGATTTTTAATCATATAATGGAACGCTGCCACAATCGTCACAAGTAAATTTTATGAAAATTGATTGTAAGTCACATTTCATATATTCTGAAGAATTTTTTATTTTATAATGCGCAATTTTATACTTGAAAAATTTCTTATTCAAACAAAAAAAAAAACGTTTCAGATTTTTCTTTCGATTATCAAACACAATTAAAATTTTATATATAGAAATGATATTTATGCCTTTCACATCTGTTGCTTTGGCATCATTTTCAAATAATATTCGATACAAAAAAATGACAAAGCAAAAATATTACATTTTTTTTTCTATATGTAAATATTAGACACGATGAGAATTATTGACTCTAATATTATCGTTTAAAAAATGAGCGAATGTACTTCACATATGAAAACAAAAGTGCATAGCAATACATGCAGTACTTTTTTCTTCTTCTTCTTTTTTTTAATGCATCTACGCAATTCTATCGATTGGCGAGTACGTTTGACAATCTCCTAGACAACACTACTGTAATTATTCTTTTGAAACGAATGAATGCCATTTGCAACACTTCTATAAATGAGAGAACATTGTCGATGTTTTACATAGGGAGTACACACATACAATTGTTTCATTTTTATTTTAGATATAACTTATTTCAAACAAAAATGGCATCAGGTGGACACGGAGGTTTAAAAGAAGTTTTTGATAAATATTCAAAATTTGGAAAAAGTGAATCTCAATTGAAAGAAAAAGATATTCGAATTGACTCAAAAAATCTTACAAAAATGTTGAAAGATACGGGTGTTCTCGATAGTAAATACTCATCAAATTTATTCGATAATGATATGGCTCGTGTTCTTGGCAAACTTACTACTGGTGGAACATATGCTAAGGGAATGTAAGAAAAAATTTCGATTAGTTAAGATTGTATATGGACGTGTATATTTTCTTTTTTAGTAAAACATTTGAATTTCAAGGTTTCAAACAACTTATTGAACAAGTTGCTGAATCAAAAAAAACATCGGTTGATAGTATTGTTGAAAAAATTCAATCTTCAGGTGGACCAAGCTTGGCAAATGTTACGGTAATCTTATTAATTAAAATAAAAATAATCTATTCATTTTTTTTCCGGATATTTTAGCAAACTGCCAATAAGGAGACAACTGGCCGTATGACTGATACAAGTCAATATACAGGTTCACACAAAGAACGTTTTGATGCTGATGGACATGGAAAAGGAATAGAGGGTCGTGCGGACATTGATAAGAATACAGGATATGTTGGTAATTACAAAGAGGAAGGTACCTATGATAAAAAACATTAAATTCAATCATACAATAAAAACAAACATTCAACTTTATCTATGAACTTATATGTTTTTCTTTGTAAAATTTTTCTTTCACTATTATCAATTTTATGATTCTCATTTCTATGTTAATCTAGCACAAATTTAAATAAAAACTGTTTTAGTTTAAATTCAGTATATTTTTTGGTGGGAATACAAGCATGTCAAAAGTATGACGATAATATAACCTTGGAGTCCTTTTTGTCAATTTACTTTAAAGGGGTGCGTCGCTTCTCATGTTTTTTTTTCTT